CAGTGCGTATCCATGATCTCGCACTAAACAGACTCGAAACAAGAACCTTCGGCATCGTGTGTGGACACTTCACCTTTAAACCAAATGAGCCGGCCGGTAAACAACGATGTTAATATCTAACTTCAAACAATCCACAATATTTCGCAAACATCCTCCATTGTCTTTGGTGGGTAATTGACTCATATCCAACGTTGTTCAACTCCACTGGTGACTGATACTGAAAGTCGTTAGTGAACATCAGTAGAAGTTGCTTGAATTGATCTTTCATTTAATAGTGCATTTCAATATGCTGACATTTGATCTGTCTAGTTTCTTTTGATGGGATTGAAGTAAATAGTTATAAAATATCAAATAAATCCATCAATTTGTCAAAAGAATCTGAGTAAATTGAAAGATGTCTTTCAAACTATGAACAGTTGACTTCAACCAAGTAGGCTCTAATTGATTCTCTAACCATCTTACGAGTGTATGAGATGGGAATATCAAACTTGTGTATTTTTGGTAGTATATATCATTAAGGTAATCTAAAACCCTAAATATAATATTCAGTCCAGTCCAACTTTGTTTTTCTTCATCAGTTGTTTTCAGTCCTTATAACCGCTGATACAAGTTATCAAACTGTGTTTCTATATCGATTCTTTTAGTGTGTATTCTTGGAATATGAAATTTGGACCGGAATGAAAGTGTCTAATTTCCAATTACATTCAGTTGTTTACCTGACAAGTTACAAATAAATTTTCTAGGATTTTCCGAACTAACTTCAAACAGTTGTTATTCTTCTAAGATATTTGTTCTTTCTTTATTAACAACTGTCCCGGTAAACCTAAGTAGTATTTCACTAGTTGATATCAGTTCAAATGGAAATCAGACAGAAAAATTCTATAAAATCATAATACCGTTGAATGCCGGCAGGTTCAGTGGTTTAGAGGTTAAGCGCTCGCGCCGCGATACCGATATGTCCTGGGTTCGAATCTCACGAGGTAGGATCCTGGATGCGCACTACTGAGGAGTCCCACAATAGGACGAAACGATCGTCCAGTGCTTCCAGGTTTTCCATGGTGGTTTATCTTCAATTAACTCTTGATCTCAACTATTGAAAATCATTATAATTGAGCCTATTTTCTAGATTAACCATAAAACAATCAAGAAATACTGGGACAGTACTGAACTCATCGGAACTTCATCATTTGGTCGTTAGAAATTATTTCGAATTCAATCATGATTTCAATAAAGAAGGGAGTGTTTTATTCTAATGAAAAGCCACTAATCAAGATAGATTTTAACTGTGAATAGAAAACCAATGAGACGTATGAGGTCAAAGGTCAAAGAAACTTGTTGATAAAAGAATAAAACTCATAAAATCGATTATATACCCAGAAAAATATTGATTTTGTTAGCGATAACACAAATTCACACTTATGAAATAATAACTCACTAAAATGTTAGTTCAAGTATTCCAACTTAATGATACACTGAAAACTTAACTATTTCGAAACTAACAGGATTCTCTAACTTCACTTTGTACGTTTAGAACTGCAATTGATCTGTCTCTTATTGGCTTATATGTGCATACTGAATACATTGCCTCAATATTACCTTAAGTCACAAACATTATAAGCATAGATGAATAGTGGCTAGCAGTGATTTCCATGACGGCCGTCCTGGATTTTCTATTTAAAGGATGAATATCTGTTTCAATACAATTTACTTACATTTTTTTTCAGTTACTTACGCTTGTTAAACCTTGTGGAGGCGCATAGGATACAGTATCTATAATAATGGTTGCTCTGGTTGTTAGACGGGGCATCAGCTAAGTATCTTGGCATTCATGATGAGGCGTCATAATTCTTGATTCAACTCGGAGGTTAGAGTTTAAATGGTTTAATTTGTTTAATGTGGTTAGCGTTTTTTTTTAAAACAAGGTTTGTATCTACAGGATGGGGCTGCATACCCCATACCCACCCCTCCTTATTTACACGAGCTTGGAATCAGCAGTAACACTAGAAGAACTACAGGCGGAGTTTACAATACGATATTCAATAAATATTTTGTAATATGCTTTATCGAAAAACTATGTTAGAGTTTGGAAAAGCATTCAAGAGAATTTGAGACTCAGAGGCTCAATGGTTTTAAACACTACAAAAGCTCGATATTTAATTTATCTTTGGATATCATTAACATTTACTCAATCCTTCAAAATAATCAATAAACAAAAAACATAGTCTCTTTGGCATACCGAAGTAGTAAAAACATTAAAAACTTAAACTACTTACTTAGTAGTAAATAAGTAATTAGTAGTACCTTATCCGTTTCAAAATTCTTTTCATTACTGTCTCACGTTCCTCATTACGTTTTCTCATTTCTATTTATAAGTGACCTCACAATTGTTCTTGTACAGATATATCTATCCAGTTATTTATGTTTAAAACCATTGAGCCTCTGAGTCTCAAATTCTTTTGAATGGGCTCGGAAATCTGAGCATGTACTCCTCGCTCCGTTTTTCCAATATATGTACTTTGGAACAGGCGTGTATAGTTATAGCAACTGAGAGGAGAGGACCTATCAATATTTGTTTGAGTAAGTGAGAAGTTCTTTTTGCATAATGTCGTCAGTCCTGTGGTTAATTATTCCAGTAATTTCGTCTTCTTTGAAGCACAGATACAAGAAGCAGGTTTTCTTTTCCGCTGTACGGTACTTAACATATACGTTGGGTTTGGATTCCTTCTCGATAAATTTCAATGAGTATGCATTTTCACGTAAACAGATTGTAATAGAAGCAAATTTCTCCTTCAGGTTCTCCTTCAAGTAATGTTTATGAGCGCTCTAGACAAATGTGCATAGGATTAGCTGTGCCCCGAATACATCAGGTCTTAAAGCTGTAAGGTGACGCTATTTAAAACCCACCAAAGAGCATCATTAACCACATGATTGTACGTATGTCTGAATGACGAGTGCTAACTAGATTGAAACTACTATCTAGAGTTCCCTGTCGACTTTCTGCAACTACCTAGTGTCTGAATATGTGATAAGAAGTTAAAGCTGTCATATTTGCATAGTAAATGTTCGGACAACTATGAGTTATTTGTCAGTTGACAGATGAATAATCAAGATTAGAAATGACAATCACACAATATGTAATGTTCTGTCCTCATAATAGCTTAAAACAATCCATGATCTCCTATTCCTTTAATAATATGATCAATATTTAGTTATTTCAATTGTGAAAAAAAAAAACTAAAGATAATGTTTTACTTCATGAGGTAACAAACACCTAACTATTCAGATCACGTGTACATGTTCTCTATTAAGTTACCATAGAAAAAAACACCGTGTCCTTATTTAAATCCGTGTTTACTGTAATAAAAGAATCTACACTTGAATTCTCTGAATTTTTAACTGTAGGTTATTTATATCAGAAGGGGTTTTGTGTGGATATTATAGCAAATTCACAATAGTTGAGATCATGAGTTAATTGAAGCTAGACCACCGTGAAAAATCTGGAAGCATTGGACGGCCATTTCGTTCTATTGTGATACTCATAAGCTAAAGATAAACCAAGAATGTATTTGACAATATTAACAATAACTTACTTACTTACTTACTTACGCCTGTTACTCCCAATGGAGCATAGGCCGCAGACCAGCATTCTCAAACCCACTCTGTTCTGGGCCTTATTTTCTAGTTCCATCTAATTCTTGTTCATTCTTCTCATGTCTATCTCCATTTCTCGGCGTAATGTGTTCTTTGGTCTTCTTATTTTCCTTTGGCATTAAGGATTCCATGTGAGGGCTTGTCTTGTGACGCAGTCAGGTGCTTCTCTCAATGTATATCCTATCCACTTCCAGCGCTTCTTCCTGATTTCTTCCTCCACTGGGATCTGGTTTGTTCTCTCCCACAGTACGTTGTTGCTAATAGTGTCCGGCCAACGGATCTGAAGTATTTTGCGTAGACAACTGTTAATAAACACCTGTATCTTCTGGATGATGGCTTTCGTAGTTCTCCAGGTTTCTGCCCCATACAGTAGAACTATCTTGACATTTGTATTGAAAATTCTGACCTTGGTGTTGGTTGACAAACAGTTGTTTTGATTTCCAGATGTCCTTCAGTTGTAAATTTACTGCTCTCGCTCTACCGACCCGCGCTTTCACATCTGCATCCGACTCCGCCTACAGTCCCTCCGGGGGCTACTGCCGGTCCCAAGCTCGGATAAAGGAGGAGGGTTGGGCATGGGGTTAGTGACCCCATCCCGTAGAAAACTAGCTCCCTAAAAAACGCTAACCAGAAAAATTATTAACAATAAACTTGTAATGAAATCAACTTGATAGGGATTAATGTAATTGGAAAGCTGTATAAGGTAATCTTGGTAATTAAATCGCACTGATGAATAATTCTATACGAAAACAAAATACCCTCCTAGATCTTCTTGATTTTAATTAATTCTATAACTGAGATCAATCAATAACAAATATCTATTAATAATCAATAATTACACAGAATACATAGAATAGGAATGATTTATGAATGATGTCTTAAGTGATTTCCTGCTGTTTTCCTATGTAATGTATTGGATTTATAGCCACATAATCAATTATTGACATGTGAACATTAAAATACCTAATCTGTTTGACATTTCTAATAACAGATTGGGTTTTTTTTCTTTTTTACAAATTTAGTATATTATGTATAATTGAATAGGTAAGCCTTTACTACCGTAATAAACCTGTTTGTACTTTTCATCCTTTGCTGATCTTCATTGTTAGAGAGGTAAGTTTATATGATAAAAATTTCTGTAAGGGACAAATGGATCAAACTTATAAATTTAATCACTGAATCTAATTCGAACAACTGCAACTGAATAAGTTTTCAAAGACAGAACTATCGATCAACTGATTGAAAATGAGGATGTACATAGCAAGAAATTACAAATTTGTTATGAATGTAATGAACGGATGAAACAAACAAAGAAACCAATGTTTATTCATTTCAAACGGTCAAAACTATTAGTGACACTGTACTTTAATGTTAATAAAATGTTCAGTAGTAGTAGTAGTAGTAGTAGTAGTAGTAGTAGTAGTAGTAGTAGTAGTAGTAGTAGTAGTAGTAGTAGTAGTAGTAGTAGTAGTAGTAGTAGTAGTAGTAGTAGTAGTAGTAGTAGTAGTAGTGGTAGTAGTAGTAGTAGTAGTAGTAGTAGTAGTAGTAGTAGTAGTAGTAGTAGTAGTAGTAGTAGTAGTAGTAGTAGTAGTAGTAGTAGTAGTAGTAGTAGTAGTAGTAGTAGTAGTAGTAGTAGTAGTAGTAGTAGTAGTAGTAGTAGTAGTAGTAGTAGTAGTACTAGTAGTAGTAGTAGTATTGGTAGTAGTAGTAGTAGTAGTAGTAGTAGTAGTAGTAGTAGTAATAATAATAATAATAATAATAATAATAATAGTATTGTTAGTAGTACTAGTAGTACTTTTAGTAGTAGTAATAGCAGTGTTGACTATTATGAAATTTAGGGATTGGTTAAACTTTTCATTCGAGATGATTTATTTCTTTTTATTTGATTGTTCTGTATACAGAGATACCTTTAAGAATGACCATTAATATTCGATGTCACTATATCTTTTAAAATTAATTTTCATCTTGTATTAATTTAAAGGTCTTGAATGAATGAATGTTAGTTGTTATGGTTATTATGGACCGATAAATTTTATTCCATACTTGATGACCAGTAATATTGTAACTACGGTTACTGGTAAACTTCGTGTTTTTGTTACAGCTATCTAAATCAATTGCTTCATTCATACTCTACAATTGGACAATTTCCTTTTTTACATCTATTTTACCCCAAAATTCTTTTTCCTTTAACCTCAAAATGATTGCGCAACTGTGTTGTGACACTTGATATCTCCAAACATCACTGAATGGTTTTAATTAGACAACTGGTAATAACCAGGTTGTTGTAGAAAGCTGTTTCGTCCTAGTACGAGATTCTTTAGCAATATGCACTTACTAACTCATTTATAGTGTAGCTAACTTTCTATTTTTCAGAAGATTACTCTATATGTTAAACCAACGATAGATACAATTGTACGGTTACAGCAAATGATGAAAAGAAAGAAATTTTCCCTCTATATTATTTGTTCTTTAATGGCCCAATTAGTTTCTTTATTGATCTTATTTGGGTATTATTTTTCCTTGCTTAAGTCCCCTATAGCTTTTGAAAAATTTAAAAGAAGACTGATAACCACTGTATAATGATGGAATATACTAGGAGAAATCCGATACAGGAGAAATCAAAGTGAGTGAAGTGATCGTTTCCAAACCATAAAGTGAGAATTCGAAGGACAAGTTAGTTGAGTGACCTAGCAGTATGATTTCGAAACATGCATTGACACAGAAGTAGCTAAATTATAAATTAACGTTCATATTGCAAACCTGAATAACTTATCATCTAAATGAATTATTATTACCGGTCAGGTAGCCAATGTCAAAAAATAGTTAGCTTCTTGAAATAACCGCACACACCTCTCAGTGGTCGTTCGTGTAATACACGAAGAGTCTCTGTATTTGATTTCCCACTTCATTTCCCCATAGGCATCTTGAATACAAACTGTTTGTCAGTCAACAAATAATGAATAGATACTGATTACATTTGTGTAACATGTTAAAACCACCTGAAATCTGACGAAGCGGGATTTGTCGCTATCGATTTTATAATATCATAGATAAACAATGAAATTAGTCATCTCCTAAATGGTGAAGTGCTCTTTAAACACTAGATCATTCAGAAATGAATATTTTTTATTCATTCAAACTCCAATACCATCCTTCCTTTAACTGTTTGACTATAATCAGACTATTATCTTCCCAGTAGTTCCATAGTGATGTTTGTTTGGGTAATCTTTCTAGAATTAGCCACATTATTCATACTATTGATAATTACTAATCAATATAGTTCCAAACTAGTTATTCTTATAAAGCCCGCCCTTTGTCAAATATGTTACTTCAATGATCAATTAGTTAATTGTTTTCAATATAACAAGGGGGTTTTATGGATATTATAGTAATTTCAATAGTTGAGATCATGAGTCAATTGAAGCTAAACCATCATGGAAAACCTAGAAGTACTGGACAGCTGTTTCGTCTTATTGTGGAACTCCTCAGCAGTACGCATCCACGATCCCGCCCCCAGCGAGATTCGAACTCAGGACCTATCAGTCTCGCGCTCAAGCATTTAACCACTGAACCATTTTATTTTTAATTTAGAAATCATGGATAATATATTTGACTGAAGTCTACTTAGTATAGTTCAAAATTTTCCATGAAATTATAATTTATGAACTACCTTAAAAAAGACTCTCAAATCACTTTGAGAAGATTCATCTACTAACTAGAACCAATATGAGGATATAGAATGATAATTTATAATTAATGGTTAAGGTGATGAATTAGATTTGGAGAGGGGGTGGTGTTTCATCACGAATTGACATCAGCTATCATGCCAAAATACTATTTAGCCAAATGAATGAATGAATATCGCGCCAAAATCTAAAATCTATTATCTTAAATCTGATTGGTTCATTTATCATTTATCATTTTATCGATAAATTGTTACAAAATTTAATCGATACTTTTTTCTCCTTTTTTTCCTTTATATTTTTCTTTTTTTCTTCTTGATTAATTATTTCTTTTAAGCGCCATTTTTTTGAAATTTGAAATTGATCTAAGATCATTAGTTTTACTGAATAAATGAATTTTATTGATTTTTTTTTCTTAGATCATTTATAATCACTATAGAAATAGATTTAACTCCGTCTGTTAGTCTTGCGCGCGAGCGCTTAACCATTAAACTACTGAACTTGCTAATATCCAATGGTGTTAATGTTTAACTTTAACTAATCCACGAAACTGCATCACCGTACACCATTGTTTTCAGTGAGTTCATATCTCACAACAGACCTAGTGTTGAACTCCATTGGTCACTGCTTCTCACTAGAACTCCAGGAAATACGTCTTGGAGACCGTTACTAGTGAGCAGATGATTATTATAATCAGAGAGGGGTTTTGTGAAGATTTTAGAAATTTCACTAGTTCAAATCATGAGTCAATTTATGATTGTTTACCAATAAGGAAATGGGTAACATTAGTTTCCTTGAATTAGTTTATAGGTCAAATGAAATAACAAGGGAATAGGGAATATGGGTAAGAGAAATAATTATAATGATTAGTAATCGAATCGAATGTTTGATTAGGCACTTAGTAATGAATGAACTTCTTTTTAGACTAGTAGACTATATAAATGAAGTGGTGATTTGATGTGTGAAGATTATGTAAACACTTCACTATAACTTTATGATTGGCAAACAGACATGATTAACATGAAGCCTGGTATAGATATGAGTTAGTCGAAGATGGGAACTTTGACTAACATATAGATATGACAAGATGAATTAGTAAAAGCTTTGGAAACAGTATAGTATCAATGATAACGAGTACTACTGAACATAGAGAATATAGTTCTAAAAGATAGAGTTGAAACGTGTATATGAAGGAATACTAGGATCCAATATCGATGGAAGAGTGAATGCTCATTTCGCATTGTACACGATTCCGAGATACTCTATTTAAAGTCGCCTGGAGCCTGGGCTACTGCCAGTCCCAAGCCCGGATAAAGGAGGGGGATTGGGTATGAGGTTCGCGACCCCATCCTGTAGAAAACTAACTCACTAAAAAAAACCGCTAACCAGAAAAAGTCACTCAAACCATTTAAACTCTGCCCTAGGAGTTAGAAGGTCTTCATTTAGAAGAACTATGACGCCTCATGGTGAAAGTCGAGTTCTTTCAGAAGCTACGAGGCTGATGCTCCTTGTAACAACCAGAGCAACCATTAATTTATGTACATGGAATGCTCGTACAGTGTGGGAGACCGGGAGAGTCCTCCGAATTGTTGCAGAAAATAGAAATAGATTTGGAATAATCAAGATGTAATACATTTTCTTTTTCTTTATTCATAATTGACTGTTTACTATATTTTATGAAAAAGATGACAATCAACTAATATGATTTGATTGAAAGATATTTATAAAAAGATTGATTCGATGAAACTGTGATAAGATGGTCGTTGGACGTAGCCAATAGGAAACCCTATTCAACCTAGGTTTCGTGCTGTTTAGCACTTGTCAGCAAGGTGTAGCTATAATCTTGAGTGAACTGATGCTCTCTAATCGATTCGATCTCGTGTCACTCAGCTTCACAGTCAGAGACGTTAGTATTGCGCTATCCAGGCCGCGACTGACCTCCTATACTTTTGAGGTGTATTCATGATTGATTGATCACTGGATGGTGATCACTGTCATGTGTGTCAGATCCTTCTTTCATGAAGATCGAATCCTATTGATGAAACTGAAATGAACATGTTTTTGATAGAGTTTTGTTTTCTGGGTTGGATTTTTTGATCGTGGAGCTTTCACCATTCTTCTGAACGACATCATCAGCACAAACTTCAGGTAGAAGTGAATATGTTTATCACTCTGAAGAACTAATCTTGGTTAAATATACAATATACCGATATTTTAATTTATGGTATTACAGAATAAACGAAGTTTGAAAACACTGTGAATGGTCTCTAATCAATAGGACAGTGATGAGACGTTTTCTAGGTTCTGTTTTGAGAGTCATCATTTGAATAGATCTTAGATCTTATATGATGTGGATTTTTTCTCTTGATTTGGATTTTATGAAAAGTATATTTCTAATGAATTTGACGATTAAACTGAATGAATTGCCAAGAATAATGACAGAATGAGTAAGATTGTTGGCATTAGTTTTGTAGGGCCAGTGAAGTGTCACTAAGCCCTAACCAAATCATCTGACATTTGGGTCATTGAATATCGAACAGATCATCGATCCCTGTCAAGGTCAAGAACAACTAACGCGCATCAGTAAATCGTATGCCATGGACTGACCCATGCAGCGGTTGTCTTACTTTCGCTTGTATCTACTTTAACTAATATATTTCTGTAATGACGTCCTTTGTGTTGTACAGTCTTCAAAGCATCTACAGTACCATGATACATTAATGGGGTAGTCCACGTAAGGTGCTGACCATGTTGTGTGAATTCGACGTTATCTGGTTCGTCACACCATTCTTCTCTAACTCAAATAGGCCTCCAATCATTCGACATAGATCATCTACTTTGGTGATCTACAGTTTGATATATAGACCATTGATTGAAACTGAAGTTCACGTCAATAGCTGAGAAAAAGAAGATCTGTATATCATTAAAATCTCTTTTAAACAATCTGAGCTCGTTAATTTAATTTTTAAGATGAATCGTACTGATGCAATTACTGGAAATTGAGATTAATGACTTTTTTTATTATTACAGATTGATACATTATGTTATAAACACGTTTCTGTCATAGAAGATTCGACCCTAAAATTATAGTAAATCTCCTACACTTAAGTGTGTCTACGATTAATTCTGTCGAGACCTTTAATTGACTTATTTAACAGACAGTGTTATTCGAACAGTAATAATTGGTATGTCTCAGTATTACCATACTATATGAACATGTATGCTTGATCACAAGTGACC